AAGAAGAATAAGAAATACACAGGAGGAAAGTGTATTCCAAAAAATCCAGAATATGGATATTGTTGTTGCACCTTTTAAATAAAGTTGTTTTATTATCACGTTATTATCATGTTTTTGTAAACGTATTTCCTTATTTTTATTTATCAACTATAATGGATAATTAGATTTTGATCCGCGCTTTAAATACATGAAACAATTTTTTGGTCAAAATTTTATATACTCGCCTTTTCTATTTATTTAAAGCAAGCATTAGTATAAATCTTTAATCTAAAGTCCAAACCGACTACCAAAAAACCCGATATGTTTGCAGTCCAAAATATAAGAAATACCAAAAATGATTCTTGTAGAGTGGTACAAAACATATCTGAAACTGAATTGTTATTAGCAAACCAAAACAGATAATCTGACCCCCCCCCCCACCACAAAAATCCTAAAAACCTATCGGAATGTCCAAATTAATAACAAATATAAATATATAGTTCAAATATTCAATTTTATATTTATTTTGAAATGATATCTAATAATAATTATTTAAATTTTAAATAAGTACTTTTAATATCCAAGTATCTTTATGATCCAAATTTTAAATTTTGGATTTAATTTTAGATATATCCGAATTGGACCAATATATCCAAATTCTAACGATATATGGTTATTATATAGATTTTAGGATGTGATACAATTTAGAATCAAAATCGTTGAGTTATATCCGAACTCAATCCGTACATACACATTTACCAAAATGAATGTGATATAAATTAGAATCAGAATTCCAAGTATCCAACCTGTATCCCAATATGTATCTGAAGATCAAGCCTAACGTAAAGTGTTATTATGTTTTGTTAAATAATTTTATATTTGATAATGTTTTACATATTTGTTGGAATAATCCGTATACTCATAAAATATCAATAATAACATGTTTCATCAAATCACTAAATATTAATAGTAGCTAACTATTAATATTTATTTTATCAAATATATATAAATATATATAATTTTAATACTTTATATATAGTAATTATATTATTTGTATCTGGCGAAGATTTTGAAGTATTTTTTATTGCATTTATATTAAAGTACAATTGTATATATACGAATTAGTAAGCATATACAAGAATAATAAATTCCGTTATATGATTAAATATTAATAGTAGCTAACTATCAATATTTATTTTATCAAATATATATAACTTTAGTATTCAATCTATAAGAATTACGTTAGGTGAGGGTTTGGAATGATTTATTTATTGCATTTGGAATAAGTACAGTTGTATATATACGAATTAGTAGGCATATATAATTCCTTTTTACATTAACAACTAAAATATAATTAATTAGTTACTTAATTTAATGAATATAAATTAAATTCATTATTTCTTAACTAATATTTTTAAAAATAAATTTAATATTATTAAAAGAAATAAAATTACAAAAAAAATTTACATACATACTATACAACCAAACAAAACAACCGATAAACACACATAAAAATTTGGTGTAAAATCATAATTTTATATATTTTGGGGTGTGTTTGAAGAGTGATTTTGAAAATGGTAGTTGTTGGGATAGTTGAAAGGAAAGTTAAACAATTTTTGAGTGTTAAGTAGATTATTATTGGCATCCATTAACAAAAAAAAAAAATTTTACACAATTTTTTAAATGAAAGGTAATACTAAAAATTATAGTAACTAACAAATGCATTTTTAATGTATCTAAATAAAGTGAGACTAGTCTCTATTTATAGATCATAGAAAAATCATAATTTTGATATTTTAAAAAATAAATCATTATAAAATAATTGAGTTTCAATAATAGGAGGAGATAAGAATCTCAAAAAAAAAATTTGAACCAATGAAAATATAGTAACATATTTAAAATGCATAAATGTGTTTTCTTTTAAAATAATGGTGGCGTGAGTTTCACTCTTTTTTTTTTCTTTCCATTTCCAAGTCGCCATGTGTCACCTAGACTCTTTTTTTCTGCATTCAACTTGTTTGAATTCAACATGTATTTTTTTCTCTATTCAACATGCTTATTGTACATGTTAAACAGTTGAATATGAGATCGATTCAACATGCTCATTGTAACTAGTCTGTGCTCATTGTAGCTAGTCTTAGAAGTATGACAATTTTTATCTTTCCTCTAACTTTTGTAATCCAGTCAAACTGAATTTTAATGAAAGTAAGTAGTATTTAAAAAGGGCTATAAAGGTGTTTGTAAAATTTAGACCAGAGAGTACTCAAATATTTGACCGTACGTATGTATTTTTTTGGGGTCAAATGACAGTATATAGAGAAGCATCCCATACGTGCAATGAGTTCACACAAAATATAGAGAAGCATGCCATACATGCAAAATGTACAATAAAAGTCAAAAGATTTTTTCCCCAAAAAAATATCAGCAAATATGAAAGATTCGTATCTGATAAAAACTAAAACAAAATTGAATAGTAATTGGCAAGTGTCAAAAGAAAAGAATGAAAAATCATATAAATAGAGCCCTTCATCAATAGCTAGAAAATCACAGTTACATATTTTCTTCTCAATAGAAATAACACTACAAAAAATTGAAATGGGTTTCACAAAAATCTCAATCACCCTTTTCTTGGTAATAACATTGGCAGTTGCGTCCAACTGTGAAGTTCTAGCTGCATCAAGTATAATCATTCTTTCAAGACTTTTTGTTTTACTTTTTATTAATGTTTTTATCTTTGAACATTTTGAAAGCAGTACTTAGCCACCTTAACGTTTTTTTATTAAAGAAAAAAAAATATATACATAATAGAATTTTTTATAACCATTTATATGGATGTGTAAGAACTTTGACATGAAAAAACTATTATTTGGATATGTGATATATGATTATAATTTTAACCTTGGTTTGTTATAGGTGAAGTGAGTAAGACAACAAACTATGGAGCATGCATTTATGACGAGCTTTGTAAGATGGGAAAGTCCGGAACTCATCATTGCTTGGTTAAGTGTTCTATGAAGAATAAGAAATACATAGGAGGAAAATGTATTCCAAAAAATCCAGAATATGGATATTGTTGTTGCACCTTTTAAATAATGTTGTTTTAGTATCACGTTATTTTAAAAAAAAAATTATCTATTAACGGTTCGCAACTATAATGGGTCATTGATTCAGTGAAAATAAAAAACCTATTATCACAAAATTTATTCCATGAAAAATCTCCCCAAATTTATTGGATTTTTTTCTTTCTTAGATATTTGTTTATCGCGGCTAAAAGTTTAGTTGGGTGTTTAGTTTGCTGTGAAGTTTGTCTGATGTTAAAGCAAGCTTGGTAGCTTCATCATACGAGTTCTTGCGATCTTTTGGTATAAAAAAACTAGTCCGAGTAGCTGTAGTAACACAACTGAATCATGTCTAAACACTCATAGTCACAGACTGATACACAAACCAAACCACTTATAAACATATGCATAAAGCTTCAGCATCAAATAAACATGTTCTTTAAATATCACAACAATGGAAGATCCAAACCAAAGAATTATCTTACCCACAATCACAAATCTGTCTCGGGTAAAACAATCTGTCATTGTCATTACAAGAACACCTCATTGTGCTGTATGAAAATATTAAGAACCAAGTCCAAAACCAAACCCATGACAGAGAAGTAAATGAGTCAAGGTAAATAATATTGAAGAAGAGAAACAAATAAAAGAACACTCTTCAAACAACCAACCACAAATTGACTGACCACATAAAAACCATTTTCAGTATAAACTGAACTGCAGAGTGTGTAATAAAGGATCTTTGAGATGTTTTTTTGCATTGGTGTAGGAGTTTCTAGAACAAGTCGAACTTCTTCTTGAGCAGATCTTGCTTCCAACGAGGTAAGTTGTTGAATGCTTCTTTCTCCATCCCAAACACACTTTGAAACTCTTCCTCAGATAGATAAGCCTTTAATCACACAGCAATAAAAAACCGTAAGTTTGGAGATAAAGAGAGTTATTCAGGTCCTAATACCAACTATATAACCAACTCACCTCTCTGCGTTTGAAATCGATTCCAGTCACTGGGTTTTCAGATTTAGCTCTCAGCTGTTCATAGGTGAAAGTTGCTCCACTTGTGTCTATAACAGAGTCATCTTGCTCCTCTGTTTCCTCTTGCTTTGCTTCTGGCTCCTCTACTGCACGTGAAACTTCCTCTTCTACCTTGGTTTCATCACCAGCTTCTTGTGACTCATCTGCTTGATCATCATCTGTGGATGAAAATAGATGAAGTCAATTGTGTTATAGAGTTTTAAAAAACGTGAAAGAAAGGAGAGGAACTTACTCTCATCTGCTGGGTTGGAGCTAGTGGATCTTCTTGTTGGAGAGGTATCAGTTGATTTCGGATTCTCAGCAACGAGAACCTGTGAGAGAGCAGCCACTGCTGCTGCTCTCTGTGATGCCTGGCTCGTTCCTGCTGGCCTAGGTGGTGGAGGAGATTTAGTTGATGATGAAGAAGAACTGAACGCGGATGTCAATGCAGCTAATGCTTCAGCTCTTTGTCTTGGACCCTCTTGACTTCCACTTGATCTGTCCTGGCTCTGCAGTTAAGATGGATGACTATCTAAGTTCACTAATCAAAGAATAAGATGCGATTTGCTAAACATTCTTAAAGTTCTCATAATATGCTAATAGGTTAAGATAGATATTTACCGAATAGGCTGGTCTGCTACCAGAAGAGTTAAATGCAGAATTTAAGGCAGCTAGTGCTTCAGCCCTTTGCCTTAGTCCTTGGTTCCCACCGCTAGACTTATCCTGCAACAACACAAGAACATAGATATCATGACCAAGAAGATGGAACATGCAACAAGAGCGCTTTTCTATTGCCCTGAGCCATTACAAGCACACAAGTCAAGAGAACAGTTAAAGCAAAAGGTGTAGTACCTCCACAGCGTGGTGAGTGCCAAATAACAAGGCTGCTTTCTTCTGGAATGAGTTTCCTTGTACCTAATGTCACAGGAGAAAAGAAGAGCAAATGTAAATCAAGAGCCACTAGGTACAATCAGATTAATTTAAATCCCTCTTCATCACACTAAACTTACAATGGATTTAGTGGAGTCCCAAGAAAAGTAAGTGGTGAAGAAGCATGGTTCGTTCCCTTCGGTGACTTTGTATAGTGGAACTTTAGGAGACAAGCCTTCCAAGGACCCAGCACGTTCAACGTATTTCTGCACATAAACTGTTGCATTGAGCAAACAGTACCAAGAAAGAGAGAGAAGCAAAACCTGTAGGGAATGAAAGTTACTTGGCCAATCTCAAACACAGTTTGCTTTTCCTTGGGGTCCACACATTGACCAACCCAGACAAAAACTTCAGCATGAGTGTCAAGCAAATATATATCCTCAGTCAAGAGGTCATCTTGAGCGAAGTTGTAAATCTCTTCAAGCTGTTGCAGAGCACACTGTTAAAATAACATACATCTCGAATCAAGAAAGTTGTATTAAATCGTAAATAACTCACCTGAAACTTTCCTGAACATGCAGACACATTTCAAAGAAAACGAAATGATACAGTTAGAATATAGAAATGTGAAAAATATATACAACGAAAGATCACAACTATCTTCATCCTATTATTAAATGTTCACCTCTGTTGATGGAAAATGAGTATAAGTGAGGATCTCTGACAGTCTCAGCTGCTGCCTTCTTGCTGGTGAAGCTCTGCTTTCCTCCAAGAGCAAACCAAAAGGTTGAGCTCTCTGTTCCTTCTTTGGCATGCTTTAGAGTCATCCCAGGCTGGATTACCAAAACGAGAAGAAGATTAATATATAAAAGCTATAGAGGCCACAACAAGATCTGAAACTAACCTTCAAGAACTCAGCAACTTTAGCAGATAGTTCCAACAGTTCATGCGCACTTTGATTTCCATGCCAAAGGAACATGGAAGTACCAGATTGCAGTAGGAAGCATTCATAAGAGTTTAAAGATGTTGCCACCTAAAGGAAGTTAAAATAGTTAAACAGAGAGTAATTCTCTCCATTAATACAATCCTTAGAAAGAAAGAACTTAAGTCAAGTACCGGTTCAACTTGAAGTGCCTTATGATTGTGAACTCCAGTTCCAGATATTTGAATCAGTGCAATTGAGTCTGGTGTGTAGGTTTCATCTGCTGAACCTTTCTCTTCCACGCTGTTCTTGTACCCAGAGCTCAAACCACCCTAAACACTCGCATTCAAATCATATTAATCACAGTGTTTTCTCTTCCGAGACATACATCATCTTGTAAACATCATACAAATTACCTTTAGGATAATCATAGGCTGGAACAGAGCAACAAACTGTGGAGGCTCTTTGCCCTCGTATATACGGCCCTGCAAGAAGAACTAGTCATTGTTTTTTTATCTTTTCTAGTAAAATTCATCATTGCTGTTCATGGAATAACATTGTACCTGCACAGGTCTTCCCTTCAACGAGTTTGACATTGTATTCGCCAGTCTAAGTGCTGTTTCTTGGTCCTCCTGGATAAGAGAGAACCCAAATAACATTATGTTCATAGAGCTGAGACATATAACAGTACAACTACTAACATCAGGAACCAATACTGCATACTTTGGCCATGCTGTGCATCAAAATTTTACCTTAATGCTGTTCTTTCCAAACCAGCAACACAAGAAAAATTCGTCTTTCCTATCACCAGAATGATACGTGTAAAGGACCAAATAGCAGTCTCCAGAATAGAGCTTGCCAATATCTTCTTTAGGCAACGGAGTCTTGACTTTGCCATTAACATACCAAACCTAATATATAAGCATAACAAAATATCAAAACGAAGTTAAAACATAGAAGAATACGTAAAACAAAGGGGGAACAAGTCAAAACAGACCTCCAACTTTCCACCAGCTTCAAGCAGAGGTGGAATATCCTCATTCACTGGTGCACTTTTCGCAATGCCCTTAAGTCCAACACCTTGTTGCTTCAGTAAAGCTAGAGAAATGGTGCATTTTCAGGTCTTAAAAAATGCTGTTAATGTTTTTTATTTAATGATTTTGAGTTTCAAAGTGGTGGTGTTTACCAGCGACTTTTCCTCGTCCTTCTTCATTACTAGGAGCGGCTGAGCCTGAAGGCCAAGAATCAAAGTTAGACTTGAAAGAGTGAGACTCGTAGCCTTGGATAACACGGGTGACTCGTGTCGCCTTTGGCCTGTTTTCACTAGCAAGATATTCCTGGAGACGAAAGGTAAAAAGAAAGTGAGAAGCCATAGAGATATGAAAGTAGGTTTCCAAATTTTACCTCAGCAGATTGACTAGCAGCTTTCCTCTCATCCACTTGAGTTACTCGGCCAACCCAAATAAAAACCTCAGCACCACAGTCCAGGAGGTAACATTTAGTGTTTTCCAGCATAGACTTGGTTAGATCACCGTCTATAGGCTCCATCTGACCATCAATGATGCTAAACAAAAAGAGTAACAACATATCAAATACATCCCTCATAATATAGACACTACTGTACAAGATATAATAAATGTAAATCAAAGGGAAAACCAGTACCTGTAAAGCTTAGGTGGAGTTGACTCAGGGATAATATCATCATCATTGGCAACTTTCCTTCCTATTGGAGCAAAACCACCAAAGAGGACCCAAAACTCACCAGAATCTGATTCTGTATCTAACTTTCCATCATCTGTTACGCAATGAGATAAAAAAAACATATATAAGCTTCCACCTAAGAACACAGTCTGTGAAAGCTATGTCACACCAAAACACTGTAAGCAATGAAGCTTACCAACAATGGCAACATCGCAAGTTCCTTCATGATACTTGTCTTTCAAATACTGAACGACTTCCAAAGCTTTGGCTCTCTCCTGAATGTTTGAATTCGCACCGTTGAACTGATATATCTTTTCCTTGGTGTCCAAGATAAACACATCATCGTGATTCAGCGATGAGCGGGCAAAAGGAACCTACAAACACAAAGACAAAGCAACATAAGGAAAACAAAAAGAAGTTAATGTACACATTGGTAATTTTACTGTTTGTGATACAAAGAGAGTAGAATAGTTTCAAACCTGCTTCAAATGGACTGCACGTTTTCCTTTGCAGGTATACAACCGTGTTTCGAACACCTCTTCTTCAGGTGTTTTGAAGCCAGAAGCAACACCACCTTCTAAGGGTATAATACATGGCTTGAAGTAAGACAAGAATTTGTCAGACTCATGACCCTGGATTTCCCGGTGTTGGACAGCTCGGCCTCCAAGAACTGCGTCGAGTTCAACTGTCTTAACAGCTGCTGTTCCAGCTTCATCCTAAATTCACCAAACCACAAGTTAGTAATAAGGAAAAAATAATGTCATCTACCAAAAACAAAAAGAGTGTTGAAAATAGGTACCTGACTAGTGTCTTTCCCAATCCAGAAATGAATATCAAACAGATAAGCACCTCCTTTGTTCTGTGTGGTCTGAACATAACAACACAAAGTGATTAGATATAACAAAAGAAAAGCACATTAATTCATAGTTACTCTGTTTTTGTAAGATATTTCAAACCTGCAAGACAATGTAAGTGTCTCCCATATAGAACTTCCCATGATCAGACTTTGGCACTGGAACAGCCTCAAAATTCTCGATTCTCCATATTTCAGTTCCTCTACAAGAGATGGTAAAGTGTTCAACATCTTCATATAGTGTTCAAACATTCAGAATTTAGTATACTAATATAAAATCAATAGAAAAGAAGCAATACGGTTTCTGTCCAGCTCCTTGAAAGGCAGGATCCAATACTTTCGTTGACCCAGACATGTTGTTCAACGCTCAAAAAATCTACACATGCCAATGAACATGTTCAGTCTCAAAAGAAAATGGAACAAAGAGAAGCTGATCACACCAACAAAGATCTCTCAGTTATTGACTCAACAATATAAATGTGGATACTGAATTATAACGTAACATTCATTAAAAATGTGGTTATGAAAATATTCCATGATCCAGAAAAAAAGTCATCGATCATCACTGAAACTTATCAAAAAATCTCGATCATAGATTTATTTAAAAAAAGCTCGATCACAGATGATTCAGATTACCCACAAAGAAAAATTGAGACTTTACGTAATTAAAGAAAAAAATGAAACGATTTGAGCAGATCGAGAATCAAAGGCAAAAAAAAAAAAAAAACAGAGCATGGTACAACGAAGATTCAAATGATCTGCATTAGTCAAACAAGGATCCAGATTGAAAGACGTACCTGACGAGAGATCTGTGTGTGGCAGGCACTAAGAGACGAAGGAGAGAGCTGGAAGAAGAAGAAAAAGATCAGAAAAACGAAAACATGAATTAGACAGAAGAAGAAGAAGAAGAAAGGAAAGAGATTTGAATTATTATTTGGAAAAAGAGTATGTGTGAGCTGTGTTTTTTACCTTTTTTTTTTCTTTTTTTTTTCGTTACGTTTTTGTCTCGTAGATTTACAGTAGAGAGAGAGATGAATAATATTGCCGACGACGAGGGGAAGAAGAAGAGAAGAAAGAGGAAGAAGAAGACGAGAGGTTTGAGAAAAGACGTTAAGAGTCTGTCAAATTTAAGGCAGAGGAATAAGATCCGGTCGTTATTACACCGACCAATGTTGGCTTTTCAATTTTTTTTACCACCACTTTTTATATCACAAATCAAAAACATTAAACCCGAATTTATGATATGCTTTTTGAATTTTGAGAAAATATTTAACACTAGGGATGATTTAGGTAGTTTCATTAATGTTTATTTCAAAATTAGTTAAAAAATCTTTTGGTAAGTACTATAGGTGGATTCGTAATTAAACAGTAGTCTTACTCCTAAATTCAGAGAGTCAATATATATATATGTCATTATGTCTTATTGATTTTATACTTAAAAAAAACAAAAAATTATCTTAAGATGTTTGTAATTTTATATATTGTGGGATTGGCCTTTAATATATGGCTATGTAGGTTAAGATTGGATAGATATTTTAGTTTAAAAAAATGAGTATTATAGATTGTTCAAAAATCGTTAAATGGTAATTATAATTTTAAAAGAGATTACTTTCTAGATGGAGTTTATACTGATTTTTTTTTTTAAATGTTCATTAATAGTCAATTTGCCACATATATAGAAGTCTAGACACTATCAAGAAGGATTTTTAGAAAATTGTTATAGAAAAGGAAAAAGTCTCATGGGAATAAATAAGATATAAAATATATTTGTGGTCGATGGAGAGATTGTTCTCATCATTTCACTATTGCAGCACGACAGGGTGTCTTGTTGTAGCATGTGAATTTGCACGATTGATACAATAAAAGATTACGATCATAATTAATAGATACAATAATCCTGATATAAATGTAGAACAGCCTTATTTTCTACTTTTAGCAGAGGTATGGACCATGGACATGGATCATACTCCTTTTGTTCTCTCTTACTTTCTTTTTCCTCGTGTTTTTGGTATATACGAAATGTATTTTGTAGTATATAATCATAATAATTGTGATCTTTTGAAAAAAGAGATTTTCAGAATCAGCTATCATCAATGTTTTTAGTATTTTATGTTTTGTTGCTCAATTATCATTATCAAGTTAAATACATAAACTACCCATCTTAAAAATATAAATTATGACTATTCATCTTGAAAAAATATAAATAAACTAATCTGACTTTTTAAAAATTTAGACTTTAGAGAATAATAAAACTTAAATTACAATACATATAAATACATTTAAGTGTCAATTTTTAAAAGAAATTCCCAGATTTCAACATTTTAGACAATATGCATGTTCTTACAAAACGTGATTATTGAATAACTGATGTTGTCCTCATGCAAAATATACATAGTAAAATGTGGTACATAATGGTGGAATTAGAGGTGGCTTGAACAAAAAAGATGGTGGAAATTAGAGAAAATAAATCCCGATTATCTACAAACTTATATAAGATAGTAAAAGCCAAAGATATGTTAAAAAGAAGTTACGTTTCTTAACTGAAAGATATCTTTGTGTGTTGCCGGGTCAACTTCACGAAGCCAAAGATATATGTAAACTAAGTAAAGTAAACGTTTCATCACCATCAAGTAATATATAACAATTAGGATTAAAGGTCACTCCATCAGACAGAAAAGTGTAAAAACAAACAAACTAAACTTGACAATTCCAACCAGCCAACTTATAATGTCGACAACGAGTACAATGAATATGTTGCACGATTTGTATTGAAACTATAAACAGATGTAATTAAAGAAAACAGTACAAAATGAAGATAAAGAGAGTTTCAAGTCAGCAAAACTCAGTTGAATGTTTAATCCATGCAGACTCGTTTTAAGATTTGTTCTGTAATGGGATTAGGTCGTGTGTTCAGCCCATATACCAACGAAACGATTATACAAAAATGACTTTGACTAAGTTTTATCTCCATCCAATACGGTTTTGTTTTTGATGATTGAATATTACGTGCTTAAGGAATTAGGCGTATATTATAACAACGAGGCTCAAAAAAGCCGAAAACATATCATGTGAGTGTGCAATTAAAGAAGTGTCCCAAAGTTATATGATCGCAAAATGGACCACGACGAACTTGCCTCAGTTTCTCTACCTCACGTGGAAGGTCCCATGTCCCATGTTTTTTCTTCTTTTCAAGTTATTATTATATAGTCTATGTAATCAGCTATTGATGTAGATATAGAAGTACTACTTTTTTTCTGGTAGATAACCAGAATAACTTTCATCAGCTCAGTGTAGTCTACATTATAGAAAAAGAAAAGATGGTGTTCATATGCTTTTTAACAAGTGAGTCCCTATGAGAAATTAAATACAAGTTATGAATTTCAAAGAGGTGGAGGAAGACATGAATTGTCCTGATCAGGAAGAAGACAATAGACCTGATCTCCCCGTTATCAATCCTATTCCGATTGGCTAAATCAATGTTTCTCAAGTTAATCATGGACCAATGGGTGAATTTGGAAGTTGTCTAAGAGACAAGATTATAAATTTGGTTGAAAAGAATGTCATCTCCATTACATGCAGAGATGGAGAGTCTTCTTTGGACTATGATACGGCTAAGTGAGAGGAGTATCTATTCATCCATTTTTGAAACGGATTGAGCGAAGTTAATCAAAATTGATTTAAGAACTCAGTTGATTAATCTAACTTCAAAACATAATTAAAAGATTTCACACAGTTTATAAGTGTTTTACTAAAATTCCAAACATATATATGCCATTTGTCGCATAAATGTATGTGCTGATTTCTTTGCTAAAAAGTCACGTGTACTAGACTTATTACTGTACTTACTCTGATCTCGATACATATTCTAAAAAGAAAATTTTGTTTCTAAAAGATTTGTTTTTTAATATTTTTATTTCATGTTTTATTAACTAATTGTAAATTTCAAAAAATTTAAATTCTGATTTTTTATTGGTTTAAGATTATGGAAATAAGATAAATATAAAAATTATACAAATTTATTATGTTATATTGAAAAATGTGAAAAAATTAGAATATGAATCTTTTAGAAATAGTGGGAGTATTCTATATAAATCATAATCAGTTATCATAATTAAGCTTGACTTATTTTGTAATGAGTTTTGTTGAACAAATCATTTCATGTAAATTCTTCTTTTAGTTTAATGGATCTTCAATCATCTTTTAGAGATGTTGATGTATAATTAGCTAATGCAACAACAATGGATTAATGAAACAATCAAAATGTGATCAAACAACCCACTCTAAAAATTTCTCTAAAATGAATCAAACTCATTCTTCTTCTTCTTGTTCAAAAGTTTGTTGACTCTGTAACAACCTCTTCTTCAACAACTTAGGCCTTGGCCTCATAGGCTTCAAGAACTCAGATTGCAACCTCACCATCTCCTTCAACACACTAATCAACTTCCTCTCTATCTCCTCTCCCTCCACCTCCAAACCTCCCAAACACCTCGCAACCGCCTCCGCCGTGCTCACGCATCCACCAACCGGCTCCTTCCTCAACAACAGCTCCGAATCATAGATACTCCCCCCGCTAACTGACTCGTCTATCCCCGCGTCCAAACACACCCTCACGGCCCCGGCTTCCCTCAAAACCTCCTCGCTCGCCTTCACCATCTCCTTCGCGTGCTTCCACGTCGCGTCGAACACGATCAGCCTCAGGGACGGAGGAGGATCCGTGAGGAGGTTTAGGGATATTTTGAATTCGGAGACGGTGACGGCGGGGGAAGAGGGAGACGGCGGGAAGAGGTAGATCGTGTGGGATGGTTTAGGGAGAGAGGTGGAGATGTGGCGGTTACGGAGGCGGCGGCCGGGGATTCTGGTGACGTTGAGTAAGGATTTGACGAGGAGATGTGTGGTGTTGAGTTTGTGGCGTGACTCGTGTGGATGGTGGAGGATGAGTATCTCTGTTTTCGTTGGGATTGGTTCCGATGGTATGACGTGGCAGATGCAGATTGGTTTTGGACGGTCGCAGTTGTTGCAGATCTGACGGCGTTTCGCGTCTGCTGTTTCCTCCTCCTCCATCGTCACTGGCTCTTCTGCCACGCGAGAGCGGATCCGAGTTTTAAATAAACCTTGAAACGACGTCATTTCAATTTATTAAACGATACGACGTCATTTCGTTTTATTAATGATACGACGACGTTATTTCCGCTTATTTATGATACGACGTCGTTGTTTGTTCTCTCTGAGTCTCTCCCACTACATTCTTGGCTTCATTGATCAAGAAGAGAAGGGGAAACATTATACACTCATAAAAAGTATGGTTACAATAAAACATTACAAGACTTTCTCCACAACCCCCCAGAAGGAAAAGAATTATAAGGAAACAAAAAGAAAAGAATAACAGACACAATCTGTGTATAAACTCTGTTTCTACCATTGCATTACTGCAACAACCTCTACACCCTGACTCATCATCATAATCATCATCATACCAACTCCATTAGTAACGGGTCACCTTCAGCCATTTTCCCAACCAGTTTAATGAAATCTTGTTCACTAGATATGCTCCACGGGTGTACAGCAGGTGCTTGAGCAGAATACAAGCTCAAAGATGAATTGAAAGAAGAGGACTTCTTCTTATATACCATTGAACCAAGAACCGGGTCAAAGTTCTGAGGTGAATCCATGGACATGAAGAACATTGGTACAGCCACTTTGTAATGCAAGTCCATATCCCCCACGAGTTCAACAAGGTCGATAAAGTCTGTTACAAGTCGTTTAGGCACGTAGAATACCTCTGAACTACATACTGTCAAGGCGTCAAGATTGTTCTTGGCTGCTTCCTTGTAGTTAACTTGGAAATGAGCAGGCATTGTACTTACAGTTCTCTTCACTAACTCTGCTTGTACAGAGAACCAATCAGACTTCCCGGTTGGTTTCACTGATGTCCATGACTTTGATACCTAAACCAACAAGAAGTTTCACTGTAAGATACACATAGAAGTGGAGAAGTGTCATTCCAAAATGATACCTTGTCTGTAGTCCAAATCTTAGTCTTGTCAGCTTGAAGTAGATTCCAGTAGTTGAGGACTGTATCATCCTCAACAAACAGAAACCCTTCTGCGCTGCTGTATCGATTGAATATCTTTGGTAGATGTCTGAAACATGCATATAAACATACCATTAGAACCTAGAACTTAAATTAACATGTGTACTAATCTTGAGAATATGTTTACTTGTAGATGTGATCTATTTTGGCTTCTTCAACATAGAGATCTGAGTTCTTCTGAGAAGACAATATCACAACGGTCTTGAACACTCTACCGTAAAGCAACCTCCACTCAAGGGCTGTGCGTTCAACAGGACCATTACAAAACATAACAAGGACAACATTCCCAAAGTTCTTCCTCCACCTTATCAAGTTCCCTATCTCAGTGCTCACTGTACCTGTCTCCTCAACACCAAGATGAACCGAAGGCAACTTCCTAGGAACAAACTCTTTTCTATCTCCATGACCTATGTTTGCTCGTGGACGATCAAGTTCTAATGACATCAACCTCGGTTGTTGGTACCCTACAGTAATCAAATCCTGAAGCCAAG